GCATGTGGTATTGCTTATGACATGAGAAGTGCCCTGGAATTGTCACAAGAAGTTTTGCACTTTGGGAGATGGATGCGCCCTGGCAAGCTTCTATTCATTCAACTAACTAAACAGTAAGAAAATAAACAAAGAACTTCCATTGAACTCTTTTTACAAGATTACAGGAGGTGTCCTCTGGTGACTTTCTCCATCTCACCACCCTAATAAACATACTGTTTGCTTACTTTCAGCCAATTTCTTTGTTATTTCAATGCTTGTTTTGAATTCCACCACCCTAAATTTACATAACAGCCTTTTGCAATGAACTTTGTTTATGTAAATCTAGGTAAACCCAAACATAAAAGTTTTCATTGTCGATTTAGGAGCCTACTTGATTTAAAAATGATTAAATTAGATGGGAACACTCTAGACTTTTTGAAGTCATGTTGATTACTATACAGATAATACAGAAGTCTACTTAATCTATTCCATCATGTATCCAGTTATTGCTGTATGGCAAATCAGTCTGAAGTTTCCTGAATTAAATTTATCACTGTTCTTGGGTGAAGATACAGTTCTGGTTCATCTGCAATCCAGCAAAATCTCTGATTCCAAGCTCAGTCTTTTCAGCAGGGCATATTCCCAGGGATTACTGTTAATATTTCAATGCGTCTGAAGCCATAAATGTACCTGTGTAAAGTGATAAACATATCAGTATATGATACTTTAATAGCATGCTTGATTCACTCTGATTGATATCCTAATAAGCAGGCAATAGCAAAACACAGCATGTTAATGCAAAGAAAATGGTCAACCAGTTCTTTCTGTTACTTTCTTACTATTGTGCCCCATAATTATTATGTTTTTATTTTGTCTGATTATATATACATATACTTGACGGGGTGGGATATCGATTGATAGTGTGAGTGTTAATAGCAGGCAGCATTGTAAGACTAATTACTTAATTACCTTTTAAAAAGCTGCGTTGCTTGTTTGATTTGTTTCACATTTGTCAGAATCATACTATACCTTTCATGGAGGACTCTTGCAGTGCAGTGGTAGTGTCCCAACATTGGAGCTGGAAGGCCTGGGTTCAAGGCTCACCTGCACCAAAGTTGTATAATAACATCTCTGAACAGGTTGTTAAAAAATACCTAAAGGATTAGAAAGTGTGACTATATATGCCGGGGTGACACTGGAATCATGTACCCAAAGACTAATGTATCAATCTACTGACCACATGCAGAGATGCAACATGTACCATACCTTTCACGGAGGGTTCTTGTGGTACAGTGGCAGCGTTGCTATCTCTGAGCCAGGAGACCTGGATTCAAGTCTCATCTACTCCAGAGGTGTGTTATAATATGTCTGAACAGGTTGATTAAAACTATCTACCATCTCTTGCCAGGCAGAACTCAAAGTTTTCAATAAACTTTATTTTTTCTTCAATACTAAGACAAGATGGAAAGTCAGAGGAAATAAAGAGATTGATGGTACTTACAGAGGAAGAAAACATCCTGCTCCTGGGTCCGAAATTGAAAGGTGACACCACTGCAGTCAGCGGCAGGACCTGGGACATCACTTTGCTGCTGGCAACCAATTCCACTTGGCTGCTATCCCTGTTATAGAAGGCTGGCCACCTCCAAAAGCTGCCCACAAAATTTAAGAGCCAGCAGCTCAGCAGTGCGAATCCCAACAATGGTCTTTAGCTGGGGCTACACCTGGAGGCTGACAGTGTATCAATGGCCATTGACTATGAAGAAAGGTAAGGCACAGGGCCAAGCATGTGGCAGGATGGGAGTTACTGAGGCCAGTGGGGGGGTCGGTTTAGCTCAGTTGACTGGATGGTTGGTTTGTGAAACACTGATGCCAACAGCATGCATTCAATTCCCAACACCGCCTGAGGCTACTATGAACGACTCTCCTTCTCAGCATCTCCCCTTGCCTGAGGTGTAGTGGCCCTCAGGTTAAACCACCACCAGTCGTCTCTCTCTAATGAGACAGCAGACTTTGGTGACACAACACAATACTGGCTGCAAACAGTGCTGTTGCCATGAGATAACAATTCCTGCCAGTGGTCCCTCCATAGGTCATGAAGTGTCCAAAATGGCCACTAATCCCCACTCTCAAAACCCTCTGGGAGGCTACCAATTTTACAGTGTGATACCCACATGTTGAACTATACCCTCAATGGCTGGCAATATCCCCAAGGAAAATGGAAACAAAGGCAGTGACACAGAGTAATAAAGATAAAGTTAGAGAAAAAGAAGGGAAAGTGGAGAGAGTATGGCAGAAAAAGTGCAAGCAATGATCAAGACAGGGAAAGAGAGACACACAGACTCTGGCAGAGACATAAACTCTGAGAGGAAAAATTTGCAACTCGAGCACAACAAACATAAGGGAGAGGAAGAAACAGTCTATTAAAGTCAAGGAACAAACAAAAACAAAATGGCAGAGGAAGCAATAGAATGACAGCAAATCAAAAAGGCAGTAAAACATTGGGAAGTGAAAGAAAGGAAAGAAATAAAGATTGAATGCAATGACAAAAATAAGCTGGAATTCCATATAGACACAAAAGAGAAACGATGCAGAAGTAAACAGAAATCTATATAGCTAAGAAGAGTGAGCAAACCTAAAGGACAAAGATATTGTGAGTAAAAGGAAAGTCACTTCACAGAAATGTGAGCTGACCTGAGGGGTTAATGAGCTGTAATATAAGTAAGAAAGCTATATTTCATAGCTAGATCAGTGCTTTCAAATCTCCTCTGAACTCGACTTTTTTTTTTCTAAACGAATGGTTCCATGGCCTTGTTGAACCAAAATATTGGCCTCTTTAATGCCTCAGGTAGGTCAGTGCCTCAAACTGTCCTATGACCCTGTTGAGGTTGGTGAATTGAGGTGTCCAATACCAGTTGTTAACCAATATCTTGGAAAATTGTGTATTCCTGGTTGGATATGCATCTTGAATTGCCTTCCAGTGGCTGACATCAAATTTTTGAACCAAGACCAAATAACACAGAGATAGTAGGAGATAACAAGGTGTGGAGCTGAATGAACACAGCAGGCCAGGCAGCATCAGAGGAGCAGGAAGACTGATGTTTCAGATCTGGACCCTTCTTCAGAAATGGGGGGAGGGGAAGGGGGCTCTGAAATAAATAGAGAGAGGGGGAGGCAGTGATAGAAGGTGGATAGTGGAGCAAATAGGTGGAGAGAAGACGGATAGGTCAAGGAGGTGGGGATGAAGCTAGTAAAGGTAAGTGTAGGTAGGGAGTTGGGATGACGGTTGGTCAGTGAGGAGAGAGGGACGGGTAGGTGGGAGGGAAGACAGACAGGTCAAGGAGGTGGGCATGAAGTTAGTAGGTGAGTGTAGGTAGGAAGTTGGGATGGGGGTTGGTCAGTGAGTTGAGAGGAGCAGATAGGTGGGAGAGAAGACGGACAGGTCAAAGAGGTGGGGACAAGAGGGGGTCTGGTCTTGGGATGAGGTCAGGTTGGGGAGATTTTGAAGCTCATAAAGTCCACATTAAGACCATTGGGTTGTAGGATTCCAAGGCGGAATATGAAGTGCTGTTCCTCCAGTTTTCAGGTGGCATCGTTGTGACACTGGAGGAGGCCCAGGATGGACATGTCGTCCAGGGAGTGGGAGAGGGAGTTGAAGTGGTTCGCAACTGGGAGGTGTCATTTGTTGCGAACCGAGCGTAGGTGTTTCACAAAGTGGTCTCCAAGCCTCTGCTTTATCTCCCCAATGTAGAAGAGGCCACATCGGGAACAGTGGATACAATAGACCATGTTAGCGGATGTGCAGGTGAACATCTGTCTGATGTGGAAGGTTTTCTTGGTGCCTGGGATGCAGGTGTAGGGGCAGGTGTAGCACCCCCTGCGGTTGCAGAGAAAGGTGCCGGAGTTGGTGGGGCTACTGGGGAGTGTGGAGCAGACGAGGGAGTCGTGGAGCGAGCGGTCCCTCCGGAAGGCAGATAAGGATGGGAAGGGAAATATATCCTTTGTAGTGGGGTCAGATTGCAGGTGGCGGAGAATGATGCATTGAATTGTAGGTGGTGGAAGTGGCAAATAACACAGAAGCATGTACAAGTAATAGGCGATAAGTAAAAAGAAAGTTGTGAACTCTAGGTAACACTGTCTGCTTTCTTTGTACAAAGGGAGTGCTATTTTCATCCTGGTGTGAGATACCCCACCTTTCTTTAGCTTAATGGGTTCTTAATGGGTTCCCAATGTATTTTTCATGAGGCTATAACACAATTGTAAAATCCATAAAATATTCACAGGAAAAACCTGTTTCTTACTAAAATAGTTCTTTAAAAAGCATGTTACGCATTTCTGGAAGCAGCCATCCATCACTTGCCTCTATCCCTCTTAATCATTTAACTCCTCAGCTGCTCCAATTCAAGACAAAGGCAAAAGCTTTGTATCACCCTAGAACTTAGTACACATACCAATAAAAAGGCATATTCAAAGAAGTAACAACTCGAGTTACCTACTATGGAATCTGGCATTTGTATCAATACACCAGATCATACCTGGAGTACAATCTAAATCCTACTCTCGGGATAGCAGACAGGTGTGGAGAAAATGGCATAGTGGTGTTGCCACTGGACTAATAACCTAGAGACTTAGGTAATATTCTGAGAATCTGAGTTTGAATTCCACCAGAGCAGATGGTAGAAATTGAATTTAATAAAGTATGGAATTAAAACTCCAATGAAACCATTGTCAATTGTTGCAAAAACCCAAGTGGTTCACTAATACGCTTTCAGGAAGGAAATCTTTTGTTCTTACCTTGTCTGGCACATGTGACTCCAGAACCACAGCAATCTTAACTGCCCTCTGAAATGTCTTAGCCAGCCTATGATGTAGTGATTGTAACGAGGTCAACCAGGTGGACATCATAGAATCCAAATTCCTGATTGGAGCTGTTAATCTGCTCCAAATAGGGGCCCTTTCTGACAGATATAAACAAGAGCATCAGTGGGTCTGTTTACTGTGAGAGCTGGTGCTGAGGGAGCTGGATCACTGTCAAGGACTCTCCTTGTGGAAATAAAATGTGACTTGGTGATGCAGTACTGGCCTCTGTGGAGTTATTTCAGTGGTGACAGAAGAAAAACAAGCTCCTGAGGAAATTCATTTGCAATTGTCATCTTTGATTTAGGGGTAAGTGTTTCTGACATAATGCTGCTATTTGGAAAGATGGGTCATTAGATTTGGGAAGACTGGGCCCAGTATTTGGGAAGAATGTGTTCATTTTCCAGGCAAATGACATTGGGACAGATGAAAAGCAATGAGTAATTCTCCTGACAGCTTGTGGACCCACAGCTTTTTTGGTTATTAGGAGCCTAACACTCCATGAGCACCAGATGCTAAAATCTTTCAAGAGTTGATGGCTTTACTTTAGGAATATTTTGACCCTAAGTTTCCTCTAACTGAGATGCTATCATTTGGGTTTCAAATGGGCATTACAACCAGCTTTGGACTACATGGCCCCCCAGAAATCTCCCCTTGTGACCTTCCAAAGGTATCCAAGCCCTCCACTTCCACCCTGCCTGCCACACTCAACCCAGTGGGAGTTCAAGTTTAGGAGGTTGAACCTACACCTGGGGAGAACACATTCCAAGATGTCTGCACTCTCTAGTTACAAATGCCCACTGGTTTCTTGCCCAAAACTTCCAAATCAACGGACTCCAGTACAGGGGTGCTCCCTCCATCTGATGTGTGGACCTCAGGATTGCACCTAGATGTAGTGGTAGAGAATAGAAACAGAAGACTTTATGATGGAACATAAGCATTGGTGGCACTTTATTGTTAATGCATTATCTTATTTGTAAATAATTCTTCACCTTTCATCAGCTGTGTGAGCTAATGTCATTTTAGCTGCAACTACAAGAATGAAGACTGAGAATCTAGCCATCTTTACCCCTGCACAATATTCTAACCCTGTCTCAGTGATAGCTATCTTTTCCTTAGCACCCAAACCAGCATGAAACTTTGCTATGATTGAATGAGGGAGCATCGGATGTTGTAAAGTCTTCAATCTATTTATAACGTTTAGTTTCATTAAACAGCTTGAATGATAGTTTTTAAAAAAAAAAAAATCAAGACATTAAGCTGCACTTTTGGGATTACACAAGGGATGCTGGCATCAGCAGCATCAAACCATTTACAGTCAGTGAAAAATGACTTCAAGTAACACAGGTCTGTCAAATGAGGTTCATAAAGAAGTTGTCTATATTGCTTTAGCTGATGCTGCTATGCTGAAGGTGTTATTCTGTCTTAAAGATGTCCTTGCGTTCTTAGTCAACATAATGTTGCAGCTCTCATGTTTCCTCATCACTTTTTCCATAGTCTGTGAATCCACCAGTTATCTGGAGCAGAGTTTCTGAGGATCCAGTGGAATCCTCAGTCTGGATGGTATCTGTTTATGACCCTGGATGTAACTTGCATGGAAAGCTGTTGTGGAGGGCCATCCCATGACCTTTGGCCCCAGTTAAAGATGGTATTGCAATTATGCTGGACAGCATGACATGGCAATCTGACCACTACTTGGAGGTTGATGCTGGGTATGTGTTCCTCATCCATTCACGTAGCAGCCCTTGGAACAGCAGCCATGGAGATGAACATTGCTTTTATGTGGATAGTGCTAATGACCCTGCATGGCCAAGATCAGAAACAAAGCAACTCCTCACTAAGGTGATCACTTACCAGTCACAGACAAATACAAACAAAATTTGAACATTGTTTCCAAAATACTTTGGGACGTAAATGCTCCAGACAGGGTGCCTCTACATGGGCATTGTACTTTGTTGCCCTTATTCAGACATCTTTTGTTCAAGTTTTTTCTTACACCAGCAGTGGGAAATGAAACATGTGGCTACAATCTTGAGGACTTCTCCCCCAACATTCTATCCATTCAGTATCCAAGAAAAGCAACATGCCATACAGGATGATAATATGGACATTTTATTGTGACAGCTCCTGCACCTGTGCAGGTTATGGGACTTTGGAAAGTGATTGTGAATTTGGCAACTGAGGTGAATCTTTCCAGGTCACAAGACATTGCCCTCTATATCACTGCTATTAGTAGGATTGATTTGTAATGTTGAATGATGTGGTCAACTGTGCCTATGGCCAAGACTTTTAGTCAGCACAGACAGCAATGGATGAGGTCTACTCACAACGTTATGTGATAACAAAAAAAAGCAGACATGGCTGCAGAAACTCAGCAGGTCTCGCAGCATCTGTGGAGAGAAAAAGTTAATGTTTTGAATCCACTGGCCCTTCATCAGAACTGAAAGCAGCTGGGAAATTTTATTATTTATGTTGATAATGGAGAGTGGGGAAAGGAATGAGTCAAATAGATAGAGATGGTGCACTGAGAAAAAAGACAGATATAGCAATTAAAGGAGAAACAGACAGAGGGGTTGCTGATGATAAGCTAAGGCAAAGATCAATGCTGAATGGGTACAAACAGTAAGTGTGAAAGTTGATTTGATTTATTGTCACATGTATCAAGATACAATGAAATGTATTGTTTTGAGTGCTAATCAGACAAATCGTACTTTACACAAGTACATCAGGGTAATAGAACAGAATGCAGAAAATAGCATTACAGCTGCAGAGAAAGATCAATCCTAATAAATGAGGGGTCCATTCATTAGTCTGAGAACAGTGGGGAAGGATCTGTTTGTACATATTTTCAAACTTTTGTATCCTCTGTCCAATGGAAGAGGGTGCAGGAGAGTATAACCGAGGTAGAAGTGTCTTTGATTATGTTGGCTGCTTTCCCAAGGCAGCAGGAAACAGTGTCAATGGATGGAAGGCTGGTTTTCCTGATGGACTGGGCTGGGTTCACAACTTCCTGTAATTCCTTGTGGTCGTGGGCAGAGTGGTTGCCATACCAAGCTGTAATACATCTTGATATGATGGTTTCTATGGTGCATCTATAAAAATTTGTAAGATTTCTTGTGGACATGCAAATTTCCTTAGCATTCTGAGGAAGTAGACCATTGATGTGCTTTCTTGATTGTAGCATTGATGTAAATGGATCAGGACAGATTGCTGGTGGTATTTACTCCAAGAACTTGAAGCTCTTGACCACCTCCACCTCTGCACCATTGATACAGACAGGGGCATGTCCTCTACTCTACTTCCTGAAGTTTTGCTAACATTGAGAAAAAGATTGTCTTTATACCACACAAATAAACTCTCTATCTCTTTTCTGTTCTCTGCCTTCTCATTGTTTGAGATCCAATCCACTACTATGGTGCCATCAGCAAATTTCTAAATGGAATTAGAGCTGAATTTGTTCACATGGTTGTGAGTGTGTAAGGGGCTGAGTACACAGCCTTGCGGGCACCAATGTTGAAGATTATCATGGAAGAGGTGTTGTCGCCAATCCATACTGATTGTGATCTGTGAGTCAGGAATTTGAGGATCCAGTTGCAGAGGGGGAATCAGAGTCCTAGGTCTGAGTTTGGAGATGAAATTGGTTAGAATTATGGTGTTGAAGGCAGAGCTAAAGTAATACATAGGAACAAAAATTGCTGAAAAAACTCTGTAGGGCTGGCAGCATCTGCAGAGATAAATCAGAGTTAATATTTTTGGTCCAGTTAGTCTTCCTCACCTGACAGTAGGTAGGAAAATGCTTTTTATGCAGAAGATAAGGTGGAGGGAGGAAGTAAGGAGTAAAAGACAGAGCCCAAAGAGACAAGAACAGTTGGACAGACAAAGGAGTGGATAACAATCTGCCTGGGAGAATGAATAGTTACTAATGGGAACAATTAGTGGCTAGGAATGGGTTGTGTGTAATAGCAGACCATGTGATAACAAGGCCTGGTGTGTGGGTGCAGTGGTATGGGCATGGGAGAAGATGCTTCAAGCCCTAAAATTGTTGAACTCTATTTTGAGTCCAGAAGGCTGTAGAGTTCCCAAGCTGTTCTTCCAGCTTGTGTTGAGCTGTACTGGAGCACTGCAGCAAGCCTGAGACAGATGTTGACCAGGGATACAGTGGTGTTGAAGTGACAGGCAACTGAAAGCTCAGGGTCTTTTTGCAGACAGAACATGGGTGTTCTGCAAAGTGTTCACCAAGTCTACACTTCATTCCACCACTGTAGAGGAGACCACATTATGAACAGCAAATGCAGTAGACTAGACTGTGCTGCTTTACATGGAAGGTGTTTGGGCCCTTGGATGCTGAGAAGGAAGTAAATGGACAGGTGTTCCATCTCCTGCAGGGGAAGGTGACATGGGGCTGTTGGCAGTGAAGGAGGAGTGGACCAGGGTATCCTGGAGGGAATGGTCTTTATGGAAGTCCAACAAAGGAGGGGAGGTGAATATGTCAATAAATAGGAGTCTGACATAGGTGTCTTTGTTATCCGGATGTTCCAGGAATCCCTGTACCACCAGGAGATGCCATTTGCCATGGACCAGTTGCAACAGTAGACCAACTGTATGGATTGAGGCTGGAGTTGGTGTGCCATTACTAACCTCCAAATCAATATTGACCACTATCAGCAACAGCCTCACCACCAAGCCCTGCAGAACTCTACTGGAAAGATTTCCATTCACAGAAACATTCCTCTACCATTAGTCTTCGTTTCTAGAATCTCAGACAATTTTTGGATCCAAGGTACCACTTTTTCTTGGACACCATGAGCTCTTACTTTCTTGACCTTCTGCCATTAGGGACCTTAACAAAAGCCTTGCTAAAGTCAGGTAAGCCACATCAACTCAAAAACCCACATCAATAATTTAGCTTACTGTCTCCGAAATTAGATCAAATTTCTCAAACATGATCTTTACAAATCCATGCTGGCCATTCCTGATTAAAGTGAAACACCCAAAGCTCGGATACATTCTGAATTCTTTCTAATTTCCCCACCCCCAAGTTTAGACTGACTGACCTGCAATTTCCTAGTCTATCCCTTCCTTTTCTAAATAATAGAAAAGTTAGCAGCCCGCCAGTCCTCTGGCACCTCAATTGTAGCCAAAGAGGATTTGGAAATTACTCAGGGCCCTAGTGTTTAACCTCCCTTGCCATCTACAGTGCAATTACTTTGGCTCTGCCCGGTCTCCACAAGAAGCCAGCACTCTCTCTGTTTTCCAAAGCCAAGACATGGATTGTACTTGGTTGATTCCCTCACTACCTGTCTGGTCTC